TGCAGTCCATGGTAAAGAGACTTTTTGTATGACTGTCCACGATGGAGGGAGGCAATGTTCAAACTCTTGAGATGACCTCTTCCATATCGCGTTGTGATGGAGACTTGGCTGCACCCAAAGTAAGGCGCAAAGGGAATTCAAATTCTTTCTCAAAGTTCAGAATTACCATTCCTTTGGAGTTAAGAGAGAAAGGAGAGCTCGTTGTTAAAGAGATGTTGCAGAATACTATGGACCATATTTGAACCAAAAATCTGAAAATGCGAAGAACTGATTTTTTTTGGCGTTGTAAGTATGGGAAGTTCTTATCATGGATCTCCAATATTTAGGTGCAAACTAGACAAAAAAATGGAAGACAAATGTGCGTAAACTGAAAAAAAAAAAAAAGAGGCGGCCGTATTAGGGTTACAGAATATGTGAGCAAGAGGAAGAAGACAACCGGTGAATTACCGTTTTACCCTTCATTAAACTGTTTAATGGTAGACTTGTTTGAAAGATAAACATATGTGTTATGGTAGACTTGTTTGAAAGATAAACAATTGTGTAATAGTAGACTTGTTTGGAAGATAATTAATTGTGTTGTGGCAAATGTTGGCAATGTCACTTGAAAATTTTTGTACTTGTTTGAAAGATAAAGAATTGTGCCTGCATATGGTGAAATCGATGAATTTAAAAAACAAGTATAACAATACTGCTTAACATGTTTAAGAATAATAACAAGTCTACCATGACGCTTCTTGTAAAAATCTTACTGTCACCGAACAAGTATACCATTATTGTATATAAGAACACAAGTCTATCATCATTCAATATAGCCAAACAAGTCTACCATACACATCGAAAAAGAAACAAGTCTACCATACACATCGAAAACGAAACAAATCTATCATCATAACACAAAATGTCATCATTCAATATAGCCAAACAAGTCTACCATCTAAATCGAAACAAGTATATCGCCATTCAATATTAAGAAACAAGTCTATTGTAACTCAATATAAGCTAGTTCAACAAAATTAACTCTACCACTACTATATATAAGTCTACCACATATTATAAATCTACCAGTACTATAAAGAAGTCTACCATTGCGCGAACCATCAATAACTCTACTGTTCAACAAAATTAACTCTACCACTACTATAAATAAGTCTACCA